TATTTTTGCTCCCATAAGGCTTCCCTGGGGCCCAGAAAGGGGAAAAAAAGACAAAGCCAGTGAGGGCATGCAGCACCCCCCATGTTCCATTTTAGGGCCTTCTGGGCCTCAGGGAAGCCTCCTAGGGGTTATTTTTGCTCCCAGGAAGCTTCCCTGGGGCCCAGGAAGGCAAAAAGTGGAGGGGGCCAGTGGGATGTTGTGCTCCTCCTCCATTTTTTCCTAGGCCTCAGGGAAGCCTCCTGGGCAAAGCAGTAAGTAAGTGAGGGAAATCCCGGCACAGCTGATCATAGGAATAGCTAATCATCGGGAGGGGGAAAAAAAACCTTAAGGAGTGACTGGGCAGGAAAGAACGCAGTCAGTGATGTCGGGAATGCACACAATGTTGCGCATGTTTGATGAGGACTGACTGGGCAGGAAGGGGAGAGGTGGGCTGAGAGGGGAGGGGCCAGCCAGGGGCTCAATTTGCCGGTTCTCCAAACTGCGCAGAATCATAACAACCAGTTCTATAGAACTGGCCTGAACTGGTAGAATCCCACCCCTGGCTGGGCTGCACCATCTGAAGCAGCTGTTAACAGACTGCAACTATATCCAGAGAAGCCGAGAGATTCCCACAAATTCCCTTTCCAGCTTTTTCGAGAGAAACATGTTTTGATGTTTTCTAATGATGATTCTGAATAAATTCAAGCGGTTGAAGTGTTGCATCTCTTTTCTTGCTGAACTTTATTGAAGGTGTGCACAACTAAAATTGCAGTAGATGCAGCTCAGCTCTACGAACACTGAGCATGCAGCAGAGAGAAAGGAGGGGCAACAAATGCCAGGACTGCAGGAGCAGGAAGACCCCCAAAGCAAGTGGGAGGGCGGGAAGCAATTCCACCAACCCAGTCCATTCCCCAGCAGTGATTCACTAACAGATGGGTGCTTCCCCCAAATGAGATTGTTTTCCCCTCAGGGGGCTGGCAGGAAGCCAGACAAGACTATCTTGGTGCTAGTGGGGGAAAGCAGGAACTCGGGTAGCCTCATCTGCTTTAAAGCCATTTGGCAGCCCCAGTTATCAGATGTGATAGACTGCATAGGTTCTGCACAGCTACCCAAAAGAGTTCCTAGGGTCAACTTCAGGGAGGGAGAAAGGGGCAGCGAGGAGGAAGTGGAAAATAATGGCATAGGGTGGAAAGTATCTCCTAGAAACAACATCCCCCACCCAATGTCTAACAGTACAAAAATAAGCCTCATTAAGTTTTATAGGCTGCACTCCAGGCATAGAGGGACCATTTAACATGCAGAGAATTGTTTCTCTAGTCGCTAGTATGTCCTTGAAGTTCCTTTCTCCACCCCCTCTCCCTCAAATGTTGTTGGGGGGGGGAGTTAGAGATGAAATCAAACCACACCAGAATGCATATTTGTAACAATTAGAAATTTTTTTAAAAATTAAAACCCAGCTTATATTATAAACCTTACATGTTTTCTTATTCTTTATTGTTTCAATCTACTATACTCTCCTTGAATTTTAGGTGGGCATTCTGGATTGCTTAAGAAAGAATAGTTTACTTCTTAAATCTGATCATCAGCGTAGTTAAAGGGTAGCTGAATACTGCTGTCACTGCTTTCTTCCCACCCTCGTTCTACAACAAGAATTTGTCATTTGGATAAGGTTTATATAGGGGAGATACAAATGTTATCTACCACAGCAGAGTGAAGCAATGTGTTTTTAAAAAAGAATAGATCAGGGCAGGGCAGGGTAGGGTGTGAAAGAGATAGTCCCTTCAAATTATGGAAGCTTACTAGCAGGAGAACAAGTTACACAGGCTCACTCTTCTTTACTGTTTACATTTATGAAGGCATAGCCCCAAGTTGCTTCCACCATGGGCTTGCCTGCTGCAGTCCTTTTTGGAATAGATGGACCCTAATGATCATGAAATCATCTCTTTTTCCCCTTCCAACAGAAAAGCTGTCTCCCCCACCCCCCCAAGTCTATTTCCTGGGATGGCTGAGGCACTGTTGTGCCTGGGCTCACAAGGATAATCAAAAGCAGCAGAACTAGGTGCTTTAGAATTACATAGAACTATGTGCAATACAGTATATTTCCGCAATAGCAACTGGTTGCTAGTCCTGTACCATAAGTCCTGTGTTTGTAAGGTAAACTCCTATATGCCCATCTCTTGGACCACCTCTCCTTTAGTCTCCTGTAAACTGTCTAGTTCTTGTTCCACCCAACCCCCCTTTCTTCTTCTTGTGCCATATCTGTCATATCATGTTGGCAATCCTATTTTTATCAACAGCCGCACGAAACAGTGCTGTGGAGAGTTACCCAAATGCCTATCTTTTTTGAATTCCAAAACATCCAGTCCCTTTCTTGCTCCTGGTTTCCCTGGCTTCATTTTCTTTCCTTTCCATATTTTCCAAACTTATTTTAACACCACTTGCTCCTAACTTTGAGCCTTTCCCCATCATATTCTTTTATTCTGACTTCCATATGCTAATGTTAATCAATCATAAGTGGATGGGATCTTCAGTTAAAGAGAAATCCAAAGAGGGAATCGGAGGTGGTTTCTAATTTGCTGCTGGCTTTCTTCTGGATTAGCATCCTGCCAAATTTTTGAAATTCCATTTTTGATGCAAAACTTCATAGTGAAAGAGAGGAGAAATAAATGGCTCATTAAAAAAAAAAGCCTTCCAGCCATTATTTTCCTGTTTTACACACCTACTCAAAGCTATAGTAAATTAACTATAAATCGAAGAGAAATCTTCTTGGGGAAGATATGGGGCTGGGCAGCTGATTAATTTAGTAATTGGCTTTAGTTGGGATAATTTAGAAAGGTAATTGGGTGCATTTGCCTTGTAAAGAGTTTAAATAAATCCTAGCCATTACTTCAAAATTTTGCAGACAGAAAAATGCATACGCATTTTTATCCTGAATATATATATATCTATCTATCTAAACGTCCGAATCCGCAATCTTTCTTTAGGCAACCAACCCGGCTTCGGCTCCACACCCCCATTTTATAACAAAATCCCCCTTGTTGGGGCTGCAGACCGTGGCTAGGACCCGTACGGCGAAAAGAGAGGGGTCGCCTTTCCGTCCCGCCGCGCCCCTCGGAGGCGAGTGATCAACTGGCATTTCTACGCTTCCTCCTTACTTCCCCACCCCACCCGCATCCGCCTTCCCTCCTTCTGCATCGGTCCGTCTGGCCAGCCAGTCCGTTTGTCAGCGCAGAATAGGAGACGCTGCTCGCCGCCGAAGAGGGAGGGTGAAGGGACGGCGGGCGGAAAGATCGCGCCCTTTCCTTTCCAATTGAACATCCAAACGGTCTTTGACACACAGACCCAGTCCTGTGCTCTCCACCGGTAAATAATCAGGTTACTGTGCCAAAGACCAGGAGGCTGAACGCAGCGCGTTACATACGCTGGAACTGCACGGCCCTTCCAGTTGGCTTTTCTTTTCGTCGTTGAAGCTGAGCCACAACCCCGAGGCTCAAAAGCGGAACGGGGGTCTCTTCCCTTGGACGAGGTGCTGTCCCCCACAGCTCCAGCAGGGCATCTCCGCAACTAAGCTGCTTGGGCAGATTCCGTTTTTTCCTCTTTCCCCCAACAGCCCCGTCCCGTTTAACGATTTTATCCGCACACCAGCTAGACGGTTTCTTCCCCTCGGGAATTCTCCGCTGCCTTTTCCCCTCCCCACCCACCTTCGCTAACAAGAGAAGTGTTGTAACGTTGAGGGTGTAGACTTTGTCAGGGCGACTAATCTATCAGAGGCAACCATTCTCCCGTCCGGAGGTTCTGCATATGCAACAAGGATCAACAGCCAGAACGTATTTGTTTGTTTTTTTTTGAAAGTTTCAACACAACAGAGACGGGGAAAGGGGAAATCAACACTAGAAAACAAGCTGCTTACTACTCGGCCTTTCCCCCTTGATTTTAATTCATGACTAAGATCCACCATTGAACTTATTCTCCGAAACCCTACTCAGAATAGATCGAACTTCAGACACGCGCGAAAGTCCGAAGATGTTTTTTCAACAGTTTTGCATTCCACACGTTTTCACTGATTCTGTTTTACGTTTCTCCAAGCGCAGGGAATACCCTAAATTTTCCACAGCTAATTATAGCCGCAAAACTATGTAGCCTTGTCCCTCTGCCCACCCCGCAAGGAAAACAAGCCGAGCCGAGGATATTTTGGAGACAAATCCTCCAGCCACCTTTACATTCGCCGGCCAAAAAAAAAACCACACAAAAAAGGAGCTTCAACTAAATTCCCGTCTACTCCACCCAAATCTGCCTTTCGTTTTTCTCCCGTCTCCCCTCCTCTCCACCCCCACCCTTCACCCCCAAGTTTGCTTTCTGCCAGCAAAGCGCCAGAAAGCAGGCGTGGGTGATAACGCTTGCAACACTTCCCCGTGCCCTGCTGCCTTATTTCCTCGATCGAAAAAGCAGGCTAGCAAAAAAGCCAACTCAGTCCTTTAGAGGAGAGGTTGGGGGGTGGGTGGGAAGCAAAATACCTGATTTACGGTTGCCCCGGGAGCGCGAGACGAGCAGACCCGAAGGGGCTCTTTCGAGACAAGCAGACAAATCCACCCAGCCGCAGCTCCAAGTCGGCGGCCTCGGGGAACGGCGTGCAGGCAGACAAGTGACCAGAGCAACGGCTCTTGCGCGATCGTGGCGGCTCACGGACAGAGACCAGTCCCACTGATTTCCCTCCACCTCCTGCAATTCTGGCTTCCACAGTCTGGGAAACCCCCCTGGATTTCCATAAGGGGAGGGCGGAAGGGGAGGGGAAACCTTAAGAGAGCTACTCGATTTCCGATTCTGCCGACCTCCTGCTGAAGTTTAGAACAAGCCGCGAACTGGAGAAAGGAGCGAAAGGGCTTGCTCCTCCTATATAAGGCTCGAGCGGGGATCTTCAAACTGGGCGATGTTTATTCTAAGGAAAATGAGGGTCTCTCGGAGAGCGCCCCTCGCTTTTCTTCCCGTCTTCTTTTTCCCCCAGTCTTTTTAAACCCAGCCCTCCGCGAGTTGAGTCCCTCCTGCTCTGAGCCGTGGAAGCTTAAGAAAATGTTCGTCATGGTAACACCACTGCCTAGTCCTGCCAGATTCAGCCCCAGCCTCCGGAGAAGGAGGAGCTCTGTTAAGGTGGTTTCAAACGCAGCAGGCCCAGCCCTGGGACTTGGCTTTTTTAAGGGGGAAAAGAAAAGGGTGCTTCCAGAAGAGCGCCGCCAAGGCGGGAGAGAGACGCGAGAAAAAAAAAAAGAAATTCAAAAGCAAAACATGCGAGTCAAGACTCCCCCGCCCCCTCCTTCGGGTGTGGACCCGAAAGGCGATGTGGATTAAACACGGCTGCTTGGGGAGGTGGGGACAGAGTCAGAGACAGAGAAAAACGTGAAGCTTTCAATACTTCTCTTTTTCCAACCACTATACATTCTTCCTCTCACGGTTTCTAACAGCAAACAGATTCATAAGATGAAAAAGATGGGGAGGGAACCCCTGCAGTCAAAGGTGACTCCACCTGATGACTGAATGTGCATGGGCACGTTCCTGCAGCTTTCTTAGCAACCTGCAGCTGCACCAGGTGGTATAGCTAGACTTTGGACAGAAAAAGGTGTTGTAATAGACATGTGCATATTTACATTGGTTTTAATAGATGCTGTTTCATTATTTCTCTTCCAACTTTTCCAGAAATTCTTGCACTATGAAATACACAAGTGTGACATTTATTCTCTGTCTTGATACCCTAGACAGAAACCTGTTACTAGGGCACAAGCTAACCGTCATTTAGCCTCTTTTTAATTTTTTTCTTCAAAACTCACCCAGCAGGCAAAGAAATATCATATAAGCGTTGTCATATCTGATAATTGAATCATTGCTAAATTGATTATAAATTGCAAAATTCAAAGTATAATCTTGTGCTTTGAAATGCAATTAAGTTCTCCATTGATCCACATCCAGTAATTTAGGAATACTGATGAAGTATCTTTCTGCAGTTTTTTATATCAGATAATGTAAAAATGTTGCAGACACCAAAGGCAGTTGTGCAATCTCAGAAAAGATGCAGCTGCTTTAAAGAACTTCAGATAACTGCTACATAACTCACCCATACACTCCAAAGGCTTTTTTTTTAGGATAGATCTCTATGGGTTGGCCTGGGTCTGGGTCTGGGTCTGGGTCTGTGTCGCAGGCTCATCATCATCATCCCTGAAAAATAAAATAAAAAAAGCTCTGGAAGAAGACAATGGCATCTCTTCTGATTTGTTGCCAAGAAAACTACAGGGAGTATTCGTGTAGAGTCAGCAGGAACTGGGTACAATCAACAAGTCTTTATCTATATTTTTTTCTTTTTCTTCAGTTAGTCCAGCCAGTCAGCAGAATAGCACAAAAATGGTCATGATGGGACCTTCCGGTTTGTAGGGCTTCGGCAGCGGCAGGAATCCGCGATCGTGTGCAGTTTCTGCTTGCGCTCGCTGTTGGAGTGCCCCATCCAGCCAGATTCAGGGCTATAGTTACCCCGTAGAGGTAACTGAAGATAGGGGAGATCCGGCAGGGGTCGGGAGGAATTGCAACCCCCCTTCTCAGCCGGCTTAACTCCCTTTTCCGAAAGCGGTGGAGAGGCGGTCAGAAATGGCTGTCACAAAGAAGCTCTCATCTGGAAAAGAATGTGCAGGAGGAAGCTGAGAAAGTGAAAGTTTTTGGCTGACTGGGATAACAAGCAACATTTAAAATACCCTGGAATTTAAATTTCATCAAAGATACATCACTCCCAAAGAAGATCTGGAAGCAGCGAATGAAAGTGAAAAGGGAAACATTTTTTTTTTCTCACTCTCCTTCCTTACGATGACAGTAGATGAATGAGAAATTGGAAAAACGTGCTTTGGCATCAGCAGGTAATTAAAGTGGAAAATTAAAGCCAAGGGGACAATAAAGATTTCTGGACATTGGGAAAAAAAACCTTTTTTTGCTGTAAGTGGGAAGGGAGAGGAAAAGAATTAAGATTAAGATTTTGCTGGAGGAGGCTGCTTGGAGTTTACAAGACTAGAGCTAAATTGTAACAAGACTTCTAAAAGATACATTTTAATTGGAACTTTGCAATTGTAACCCCAGGAAGAGAAAGTATAAAAAGAAGAAAGTGTTAAACGAAACAGTCTGTGTGTATTTGGATTGCTTGGTGACTTTGGGACCTTTGGAAACTATTATTTGAAAGACTAAAAACATTTGGGTCATTTAAAAAAATTTCTACAATGGCATTACTTTTCGATGAACTGAAAATGGAATTCAAAAAGTATAAGGAAGAGGAACAAGAAAGGAAGGGCTCTTTTGACTCTGTTTTTCATTTCTTAGAAATAGTAATTTCTACTTATGAGAAATTACAAGAACAAGAAGGTTGGGATGAAGAAGAAGCCATCTTTAATGAACAAGCAACTCTATCTGGGGAAGAAAAGGGAAAGAGGGGAAAGAGAATGGAGAATTTAAGATTTAAAAAAACAACCAAAAAAGGGAAAAATAAGGTCAAAAGTCGATACAATGTCAGAAAGCAACAGAAAAGAGGAATACAGAAGAGGGTGGGGATCAAGAGACACAGGGGTAAAAAGGCTAGACTGGAGAAGCAAAGAGGGAAAAAGGGGAAGAGAAACTACAAAGGTTTGAAACAAGATGTAAAGAAACAGGATTTATTTAGAGATAATGGGTAAAAATATAACTAAAAAAGAGATTCTGCAAAAGTACATAAGACTATATTGTTGTATTTATATTTGAAATAATGTTAGAAAATTGGAACAATATATGATTATAAAATGGGATAAAATATTTAATGTAATTTAGTGAAATTTTCCTCTTTTTTTGAATAAAATAAATGAAAGGAAATATGAGAGAATTGCACTAAGAAGTAATGGGAACATTTTAATTTCATAATACTTTAAAATATAAGTGAAACGGGGAGGATGTAATTAAGCAAAATTTATAAGGGTGCCCATAGAAGCATGATATCTATTTGAAAAGGAATGTGTAAAATGTTTAAGACTTAAATGAATATTAATTTTAATGATAGAGTTTAATTGCTATGGATTATTGTTTTAATTATATTATAAACTTATAATTTTTTCTTATTTTAAAATATAGTATGTAGCTTAGAATGTACTATGCAGAATTCGAATGAAAATTGTGTATTATTTTAAGTGTTAAATTTAGGGGAAAGATATAAAGGCGTCATACTCCAATCAGTGATTACAGGAGAAATTTTGTGTTAATGAGAAAAGATAATAGACAGCTGAAACAGAACAGACAAAGGATATAAGTATAATGATTTAAATTGAGATGAAATAAATAAAACAGAATTAAGAGAGTGAAAAGAGGGGAGAAGCTATATAGAAAATTTGGAATGGTAAATAAGATATGAAATGGTATATAAAAGTGAGCATGAATTTGAATTTATGTCTGTACAAAAAGATGTAACCTGGGACTAAGCCGCTTTCCAAAAAGATGTTTTATGTTTTCATGTTTTCTGTTTTGTTTGTGTATGTTTGTTTATGTATGTGTATGTGTGTTTGTTTACTCCTTAAGGTATTTCTTTTACCCACCTCCCAATGATCAGCTGTTCCTATGATCAGCTTTGCCAGGGTTCCCCTAGCTGTCTTACTGCTTGCCCCAGAGGCTTCCCTGAGGCCCAGGAAGGCAAAAAACGGACCGTAGGGGGGATGCTGCGTGCCCCTTCCAGGCTCCATTTTTTTTCTTCCTAGGCCCCAAGGAAGCTTCCTGGGGAAAAAATGACTCCCCAAGATGCTTCCCTGAGGCTCAGAAGGCCCCAAAACAGAGAGTGGGGGTGCTGCACCCCCCCCTCCAGGTTCTGTTTTTTTTCTTCCCGAGCCCCAGGGCAGCTCTGGGAGCAAAAAACACCCCCCAGGAGGCTTCCCTGAGGCCCAGAAGGCCCAAAAGATGGGGGAAGGGTGCTGCAAAGAAAAAAAGAAGCCATGCCCACCCAGTCACATGGCCATGCCCACTTAGCCACACCCACAGAAACAGTTGTTAAAAAAATTTGAATCCCACCCCTGATTCGTGGGTTATATAACTTCTTGAAAATTGGGTTAATTGGATAAACCTAATTGGTTAGAGTAACATATAAACACAGCTTATGTTTAGCCAGGCTGCAATTTTTTAATTCTTCTTTTCCAAAAAGGAATTGTGGAATCCCATGGAAGGAAAACCTGAGTAAGAACTGACTACTGAATCAAAGCAGCACCTGAAACATTCACCTAAACTAAGGATTCCTTTTTAATGATTACTTGTACTGGAGGCTGCAATTATCATGGGTAGTTATAGTACCATGACCATGGGAAATGAAAGGAGAAATGTCAAAGAAACAAAGATCCTTTTCAAAAGAACAAGCCATATCTGTGCCTGAAAAAAAGTTCCTTATTAAAAAAGGGAAGAGAATAAGGAGAAATGCAAACATATTGCTTTCTCCTACCCATATATGGAAAGTCCCTAAAGGTTATGTTGGGTCAGCCTTGTGAAGATTAGACCAGAAGGAAGGCAGAGTATATTATAAGGATTGTACACTTATATTATGTATACACTACATCAGATCAATATATACCATTACATCAGATCAATAACTGCTGAAACAGTTCACAGTTTTTCCATTTATTTTTTTCCTCTAAATTGTGATAAGCTGTACTGGTGCTAATACAAGAAGAGGAATATCATACCTGCAATATCCTTCCAATCCAGAAACTTCGAATGAAACTAGTTTTTTTAAAATTGGGATTTGGGAGAAAAGACTTGAGGAAGGCTAGTTTTGAACATGGTAACTGCAGTAAGGATATTACATGCTCAACAATGGAGAAATACCCACAATGGAGCATTCGATTGTGTTGCAGACTAGCAGGCTCGAAAGCCTGCAACTCTGATTGGCCCGCTAATAGCGGATCATGATTGGTCACCTCGGACTGATCCGATTGGCTAGTAAACGGGCTGCCGCGATTGGCCCAGGCAAGCGCGGCAAACTCAAATCGCCGTCATTGGCTGCCTAGCCGCAGCCAGCC